ATATATATATATATATATATATATATATATATTCAACAGTAGTTCATCCTACACGCTTTACACGAGAGTTATAAGGAGTAGACATCTGTCACGGGGCAGACTGACTGACTGACTTCAGTAATAAAAGGCCTGACGTGAAGACGACTCCCATTGTTTTCAACCTTCATCAAAATGTTTCTGGGAAAGTAGCGCCTCCGAGTGATGGGACTTAGAAACGCTTTACAAATAAGTTTGGCTTTATTCTGACAATATCTACGTTTAGTGTTGTTTTATTACAGGTCGTTTGATAATTAAGGTTGCTCACTGAGAACCGTTGGTGTTACGTGGTTTATATGAATATTTTAAAACTGTGGTAAGTATTGGATATTCTAATAATACCCTTGAACACTGTTCTCTGATAATATTCCTTTACCGTGACAACAAATTAGATCTTGTAATAATACCCTTGAACACTGTTCTCTGATAATATTCCTTTACCGTGACAACAAATTAGATCTTGTAATAATACCCTTGAACACTGTTCTCTGATAATATTCCTTTACCGTGACAACAAATTAGATCTTCTTATAATACCCTTGAACACTGTTCTCTGATAATATTCCTCTACCATGACAACAAAGTAGATCTTGTAATAATACCCTTGAACACTGTTCTCTGATAATATTCCTCTACCGTGACAACAAATTATATGTTCTAATAATACCCTTGAACACTGTTCTCTGATAATATTCCTCTACCGTGACAACAAATTGGATCTTCTAATAATACCCTTGAACACTGTTCTCTGATAATATTCCGTTACCGTGACAAATTATATGTTCTAATAATACACTTTAGCATTTTTCTCTGATACTATTCCTTTTATATAACTTAAAACTTAATTATTTTGTTTCTATCCTTTCAGTTATCTTCTGAAAGGAAGGCGATTCGAGTTGGAAAGCCTTAAGAGTACCTTGGAGAAGCCATTTTGTATCGTGAAATGACTGTGTGATTGTCAACCAGTTCTGTGTGGTGTGATTCAGAAACCCGTTAGAAGACACTTTATCTTCACGTCTATGCGGGTCACATATGGTCATTATTTAAATTAACTAGAGATTAATAATGTCTGTAGTTATGGTCACTCCAGTTGAAGATGAAAGAGTAGAGTACAGCACGTGTCCTACAGAGTCTGGTGGTCTATACTTTAGCCTGGGGGTTGGAAATAAGATAGAGGAAGGCTGCGTACAGCAATCTGTAGAAACATCACCCCTCAGGCAGAGCCCTCTAATGCTAGGTCGCATGTATTCAGAACCAGAGCGCCATCTACCAACAACTACCGAGTTTCATACACTGGAGCAGTGTGACGCCTCTCCGCCGAACTGTCGCTCTTGCCCAGAAATTAGACCGGAAATACATGTACAGGAAGTAAGAACCGAGGACGAGAGTACAGATTCGCAATGCCATGCGCCTTCAACAACCAGCTGGGACGATGATACTGAAACAAAAGTGTGGTCGCCTCACGCGCGGCAAGTATTGAAAACCCAACTCGAGCCATCAACATTAAGACGTACTGTTTCACGAGAGAGCGTGCGCATCCCTAGAAACGGACTTCAAGTCGATGATAGTACCTCGGCGGTTCCGGGCGCGGTGACGACTCTCGTGCCATCCTACACTGTTTTACCACAGTCCGGAAACCGTCAGGGGTACAGGGCGGAGCGGGAGAGTGACATCGCCGAGATCGCCACCGGCTCCATGCGGGTCAATGGGGCGATCAGACAGTTCAAACAGTTGCGTAAACCCGCGTCGTCATTGTGTAGCCCGTCATCCATGAAAACCCAGCCGCAGAACTCGACGGAGAGTGAGAACGCAGGAATTGCTCTTGTGGGAGTGAACAGTGAATACCCACGGTACACCGAGGAAAAGAAGCCCACATCGGGCTTCCACAAGCCCAGTGTGGGCTATCGGCTGGGCAGAAGGAAAGCACTCTTCGAGAAAAGAAAGCGAATAAGTGACTATGCGCTGGTAATGGCGATGTTTGGAATTGGGATGATGGTTTTAGAAAACGAGCTGTCTGCCGGCGGAGTGTATACAAAGGTAACCTTTGATTACATCACTCATAGTTGATAACGATTCAGTTAATAATCACAGGTTTCTAGTTGTAGCAAGAGATGTATATGATAGTGTTTGAGAGATGTGTGACATCCAGGTCTCTGTATATTTCACCGATCTATTTTAGTACTAGACTTGTATGCCAAGCAAGTCTGTGAAGAACAATCGCTTCGTACTACGCATCTTGTCAGTTTCTATCGAGAGAAAAAGCCTGCATTTCTCCATATAGCAAGAGAATAGAATAAAACATAACTTGTTAACCGTTATTACCATTAGGTCAAAGCTGAAACTAAAGAATATTTTCTTTAGACCACAAGAGAATAAGATATAACAATAATAACTGGTTAATCGTTACTACCTTTAGGCCAAAGCTGAAACTAAGGAATATTTTCTTTAGACACAAGAGAATAAGATATAACAATAATAATTGGTTATTCGTTACTACCTTTAAGTCAAAACTAAAACTAAGGTATATTTTCTCTTCAACACAAGAGAATAAAATCGTTACTACCTTTAGGCCAAAGTTGAAACTAAGGAATATTTTCTTTAGACACAAGAGAATAAGATATAACACCAATAATAATTGGTTAATAGTTACCACCATTAGGTCAAAACTAAAACTAAGGTATATTTTCTCTTGAACAAAAGAGAATAAAATCGTTACTACCTTTAGGCCAAAGCTGAAACTAATGAATATTTTCTTTAGACCACAAGAGAATACGATATAACAATAATAATAGGTTAACCGTTACTACCATTAGGTCAAAACTAAAACTAAGGTATATTTTCTCTTGAACACAAGAGAATAAAATCGTTACTACCTTTAGGCCAAAGCTGAAACTAAGGAATATTTTCTTTAGACACAAGAGAATAAGATATAACACCAATAATAATTGGTTAATCGTTGCCACCTTTAGGTCAAAACTAAAACTAAGGTATATTTTCTCTTGAACACAAGAGAATAAAATCGTTACTACCTTTAGGCCAAAGCTGAAACTAAGGAATATTTTCTTTAGACACAAGAGAATACGATATAACACCAATAATAATTGGTTAATCGTTACTACCTTTAGGTCAAAACTAAAACTAAGGTATATTTTCTCTTGAATACAAGATAATAAAATCGTTACTACCTTTAGGCCAAAGCTGAAACTAAGGAATATTTTCTTTAGACCACAAGAGAATAAGATATAACAACAATAATTGGTTAATCGTCATAGTTTTAAAGCAAAAGCTCAATCTCTGTGACTACCTTGTTTGATTGATGGTGGTTTGTACCCGAGCTTCTTTGTTCTTTATGTCTCTCTGCTACCATCATCAGATATAAATAGATGACCTTGTGACTCGGTAATGTAGTGTGCAACCAGAACGTAAAAATGCAAAATTTGGCAGCTCGTAATTTTGTTTTTCTCTTTTGGAATGTGAATGTCCCCTCCCCACCCATAAATACAGAAATTTCACGTATTTCTAGTCGTCATTGGTGACCTGGTGTTGGGTCATATCTCGTTCCACGCTTATTTTGTAATGTGTATTTAGAGACAACATGTGTGGTAGATATATTAATTCGTCGTAACAATACACTTTGATGTTGTTCTTGATACTGTCTTTAGGATGGAGACCGAGCAAATCTTGCTTGAGCTGCTGCCAGCATGTTTCAATAGATTTTTACAGAAAGTGCAGAGGTTACATTAGATTTTAATTAATTTAGAAAACACGGTTTTACACATCTTCTTACTATAAACCAAACAGTTTCCGAAAATATTTCAGACAGAGCAACAACAAAAATAAGTTCAGTGCTAACTTTAATTCTTATCTGCACTAGATAGAAACCGTCTGTTCGGAATATTTCAAAATAACAAACTTTTAAAGCCCAAGACTACTGTCATTACTGTTTTATTGAATTCATCTATTTAAACCGAGACGAAAATTTATCTTATGTTTTAAAATAGAAATTTAAATCAAATGTAGAAACTCAAACATACTTGCAAGTTAACTAATAGTCAACACCAAACATTAAATACTCTGTCTACGTTTTACCAAAGTCATTACTATTCAATTCGTTGTCAACACCATTGGTAACAATGACATTCAAACACAAAACACTCTGTCTACGTTTTACCAAAGTCATTACTATTCAATTCGTTGTCAACACTAT